ATTTAAAAAATGCATTCAAACTGCCTCAATACGTGGGATATCATTCAATGGGGTTTTTTTTGGGTTTTTTGGTATCTTAAAAAAGATAGTACACCACCACATAACGTAAATTCTCACATCTGCTAATGAAAATATTATTTCTAAATAAATTTCACCCACAGATAAAATCTTGTACAAGGTATAACCTGAAGGCCCCAAGTTTTCAGATTTCCCAACACAACTTGTTGTAGATGGGCTTTGAATGTTTTGGTACATATTACTGTAGGAGAGTAAAAGGTTGCTATATCCCTGTCAAATTCTCTTTGAAATGTGTGACTCTATGAAAACTCATGGTCAAAATGGCAGCAACTGCTAACATGTTATCACACCTACAACACTCAGTCCTTACCTCTCAGCTCAAGACTGTCTCTGGTCTCAATAGAGATGGGAGTTACAGAAGGTGAAGAGAAAATAGAACATCCTCATCTGTAGCTGAGAGGAGGAACCAAGCAGGAAATTAATACAGTTCTGTCACACGAGCTAAGGGCATGATCCAGTGAGAGCATGTGGGTGCCTGTACCTCACGTGCAGCTCTCAGCACAGCTGCGTGAGGCATCGATGCACAGCTCGGGGCCATTCGGCTGTGGGCACTGACAGAGGAACCACTGGGACACCATCCCTAAGGGCTGGGAGCTGTCATTATGGCTTCCACAGCTCATTTTGTCCTGACAGTTATAACTGAAAAACATTTTGTACAAATCAGTTTTGAGAAAAGTAAATCCACATGGGGAAGCCAGGTGTGCAGCTGATAGAGACAGGAAGATCACTCTTGATTCAGCAGCGCCTTTGAGCATCAGGAAACTCGCTAATCCTGGACTGCACAGTGCAGCTACAGTTGGGATTGCTCCTTGTCACAGTCACAAATTTCTTCATTTTCTTTTCCTTCCCACAACCATGACAGTGCTGCTTGGGTCACACATCTCCCACTGCGTCCCTTAGTTACACTTTTTCCACTTGTGTAAGAAGACAGATCCTGGGATAAAAGCTTTTGCAGCTTGAGGTGGAGAGCTGGGGTTCCCTTGGCTGTGACAAAAGGGCCTACTTTACCACCCATGGTGGGGAATGCTCCATGCTGAGGCAGAGCCCTCTCCCCTGGCACAGGGACACTTGCAGGGACACTGTCTCAGGGTCTTCAGCTAGGCCAGGGAAGGTTTAGGCTGGTCACTAGGAAAATACTCTTCATGGAAATGCTGATTTGAATTGGAACAGACTGGCCAGGGAGGTCCTGGAGCCACCAGGCCTGGAAGTGTTTAAGACTGAACACGGCACTTGGTGCCTTGGTCACTTGGTCATAGGTTGAATTCGATGATCTTAGGTCTTTTCCAGCCTCACTGATTCTATGATTCTGTGAGTGGCCCAGACCCCAGCAATGGGGTGGCGGGTCCCACACCTGACTAAGGTACACAGTACCGCTCGGCATGCCAGACGCAACAGGAAAGTAGACGAGGTCCCCGAGGACTCCCCGCGTTTCCCGCTCGCACGATCGGGAATGAGGAGCAGGAGCCCCCTCACACTCCGCGCCCGCCCCTCAGCTCCACAGCGCTCCCCAGAGCGCGCAGGCGCGAACTGCTCGCACCGCCCGGGCTGGAGCGGCGCGCAGGCGCGGGGCCGCCCGGCCCGCCCC